ACCCCAACCCCTATAAGGTAGCGTGGGGTGTACTATAAAGAGAATGTTTGGTGTGATGTACTAATTATAGATGTTTGACAAATCCTTCTGGGCCGTCCCTGGATTTTTGATAATGATGTCCACATCTATGGGGGCTCGAACACCTGCGTGTTTGAACATACGGGCAAAAAGATCAAGCTTTTGCCATCGTAGCCCCGGGTTAAGGATGACTCAAAATTGAACCCTATTAAATTCAAGAAAGGACTGAACCTAGTCACCGCCAAGGTTCTGGATTCTGAGATTACTCAAGATGTACCCCTGTATGCCTTAGTCGGTCGTGAGACTTCCACTGAATCTGACAAACCAATTCCTCAGGAAATCCAACCTATTCTTGGTCAGTTTGCTGATGTCTTTCCTGATGATCTCCCAGATCAGTTACCTCAACTTAGAGACATTCAGCATGCCATATATTTTGTCTCTAGTCTCCCTTTCTAATCTGCCACACTGTCGCATGAACTTCACGGAACATGCTGAACTCAAGAAGCAGATTGATGAGTTATTACAGTGAGGCTTTATCAAAGAAATCCTTAGTCCTTACACTGTACTAGTCCTTCTTACTTATAAGAAGGATGGATTCTGACGAATGTGTGTTGATAGCTGTACTATCAACAAGATCACCATCAAATATCGTTTCCTTATCCTGATGTTGGATGACATGCTTGATATGATGACAAGAGCCAATCTATTTTTCAAGATTGATCTCAAGAGTGGATACGACCAGATCTGGATTTGACCCGGTGATAAGTGGAAAATTGCCTTTAAGATCAAGGATGGTCTCTACGAGTGGTTAGTCATGCCTTTAAGGTTGAGTAACGCCCTGAGTACTTTCATGAGGATCATGACTTAAGTGTTGCGCCATTTTATGGGAAAGTTTGTCATCGTCTACTTTGACGACATTCTTATTTATAGCTAGTCGGCGAGTCAGCACTTGGATCAATTAAGGCAAGTTTGCGGGGTCTTAAGGAACAACTTTATGCCAATCCCAAGAAATGCATCTTCCTTGTAGACCGTGTTATCTTTATGGGCTTTATCGTTTCAGCCCAAGGGGTCTCTGCAGACGAGAAGGTCAGGGCCATTGTAGAATGGCGGTTCCTCAGAACATCCGGGAAGTCTACACCTTCCACGGACTAGCCACCTTCTATAGGTGATTTATTCGAAACTTCAGCACCTTTATATCTCCTATCACCAAGTGTCTCAAGAAATGTTATTTCCACTAGACCCTGACTGCTTCCAAAGCTTTTGATGAGATTAAGAAAAGAATGGTGGAAGCCCCAGTGATGAGACTTCTTGATTTTTCCAAAATTTTCTAAGTGACCTGCGCTGCTTTGGGGGTTAGAATTGGAGTCCTATCCCTCAAAGGTCACCCTGTAGCTCATTTCAGTGAAAAACTAAATGACATTCGGCAGTGTTATTCCACATATGACAAGGAGTTATATGCAGTGATCCAATCTCTTCGTTATTGGCAACACTACTTGCTCCCGCAAGAGTTCGTTTTTTTCTCGGATCATGAGCTCTGTGTTATATCAACTCCCAAAGAAGTTGAACGTATGTCACGGTCGATGAATTCCTTCAGGAGTATACTTATACCCTTAGACACAAGGCGAGAGTTGAAAATAAAGCTACCGATGCTCTTAGTCATCGTATGATGACTACCATTGAGATGAGAGCTGAAGTCGTGGGATTTGAACAAATTAAAAGGGACTATTTGTAATGCCCCAACTTCAAGGAGACTTATTCTCTCTTGGCCACAGGCAACAAACACCTTGTAGACGATTTCCTTCTGGAGGATGGTTATCTCTTCAAAGTTCAGAAGCTTTGCATCCCTAGCACCTCCCTTAGGAAATTTCTTGTTTGGGAACTCCATGTCGGAGGTCTCGTTGGGCACTTCAGTCGGGATAAGATGATAGAAGCCGTGGAGTATTGTTTCTTTTGGCCCAGTCTGAAGAGCGATGTTGGTAGAATGGTCAGTAGGTGTCACACGTGCCAGCTGGCCAAGCAACGCAAACAAAATACTGGTCTTTACACCCCTCTGTCTGTCCCCAGTTGTCCTTGAAAGGATGTTAGCATATATTTTATCTTAGGCTTACCTAAGACTATCCGTAGGAATGACGCCATCTGTGTTGTAGTTGATCGATTTTTCAAAATGGCCAATTTCCTACCCTGCTCCAAGACATCCGACGCCTCCCACATTGTCAAACTTTACTTCAATGAAGTCGTCCGATTACTTGGTTTCCCAAAACCATTGTATCTGACATGGTTTTCAAGTTTACCAGTTATTTTTGAAAAACCCTTTGAATGAAAATGGGCACTAAATTGCAATTCTCCCCAGCCTTTCATCCACAAACTGATTGTCAAACCGAGATAGTCAATAGGAGCTTAAGCAATCTATTAAAATCCCTAGTAGGTGAGCATATTAAGGATTGGGATTCCATACTCTCCACAGCTGAGTTCGCCTATAATAATTATGTGAATCGTACCACTGGCCTAAGTCCCTCTGAAATTGTTTATGGGTTCAAACCTAGACAGTCGTTAAATCTCATACCCATGTGTTCTAGGTACAGGATTTCTGAGTCTATATCCTCATTCGCATCCCATATGCATGAACTTCATAAAGAGATTACACGCCAGATTGAAAACAACAATAATGATTATAAGCTTTATGCTGATCTTAAATGAAAATTTAAAATTTTTGAGGTTGGTGATTCAGTGATAGTGCGGATTAGTCTGGAACGGTTCCCGCAAGGAACGATTAAGAAATTACACGCTACAAGTGCAGGACCATTCAAGATAATTAAGAAAATCAATGATAATGCTTATGTAGTAGATCTGCCTGTAGAATTTAATATCAATCCCTCTAACATAGAAGATCTAGTAGCATATGAAGGTCCCGATTTTAACCCACCAAATCCACTTCTACTGCAGCCTTGTGTGACCCCTCCTTGTGAGAACTCAAACCTACCTCCACTTCCAAACATTCCGAAAACACCTATTGCAGAGAAGGATGACACGATTCTGAGTGATGATATCATTTTCACAAGAGAAGGTAGACGACGGAGGTATTTGATCAGGTGGAGAGGCAAACCTGAATCAGAAGACACATGGTTGGATCGCAAGGAGCTACAACAGATTGACCCCAACGCATTGGAGATTTATGAGAGAACCCGTGATGCTTACTCGACTGAGTCGAGCTTTTTCCCACCCCAGGAGAATGATGGGGACATCAAATCATTGAAAGTATATCAGAGACGTGGCCGCTAAGCTACGGCCACGATCGCGCTGATCTATTTTTTAGTCATCATATGTATTTGTTCTATTTATTTGCTTTATATATTTGTTTTAATTGTATTTCTCTTTTTTACCCTTAAGGGGTTGTCATGTGTAAGTCCTAAGGGCTAAGTCGCCTTTTATTTTTCCGTTCATTGTATGAGGCTATATATAACCCCCTTATGATTCTTTTGAGGTTAATGAATGAATTATAATCAAATTTATGTATATTTAGTTTTTGTGAGAGCTTGAGTCTTTGGAGAGAAATCTCTAGGAGAGGGAATCGGATCACTCACCAACCATGGAAACGTCTGGGTTTGTGGCTCTTTTCTTCCTTATCTTTTTTTTTTCTCTTCTTTCCCTCTTGTCCTAGCCACCGGCCACCCTAAGCCCTCCACCACCAAGACGACACTCCCTTCACCCCACCACCCCCACACTGCAAGCCAATACCAGCCCTCCCTTCCCCCCTATAGCCTCCGGCCCAGCACCACCACCCAACCAACCAACCTTAGCCGCCGGCCCCTTACCCAAGACCCTAACCTAGCCCCTCTTGCCTCCAAATTCCAAAATCTCTCATTAATACTTTCGATATTTCACCCAACCTGAATTAGACGTAGGAATCTATTTTAAGAAAGTTTTCAAATTCAACCCTTTTGAATTTCAAATTAAATGGGAATTAATTAATGCTTCCTAATTTAATATTCCAAATCAAGAAGGCTTGATTTATTTCCCCATGCTCCTCCCTCTCTCTCTATGCCGCCGGCCCCCTTATGTCCCCACCCATTAAATACTTTCCAAACTTAAAGCCCCTCTCTTGGAAATAATTCAAAGCCTCTCCCTCTCTCTTACCCGCCCCCTACCTCTTTCCAAATCACCGCTAAATCGTTTCCAATTTAAAAGGATTAACTAGGGAAATAATTTATTAATTTCCCTCCACCTTCCCTCTAAAATATGAAACTATTTTCTCCCCAACCCCTCCTTTGGCCGGCCACCTCTCACCCTTCTTCTCCACTTGAATTCTTTAGAGAAACTTCTTTCTCTCAAGGGTAATCTTTAAGGGGAACAAAGGATGTCATCTACAACACTTCAACCCTACGAAATCGATGCATGGCCGATCCCAATCTTGACTCCGGCTTCGTCTACAACGAGCAAGGGTTTGTCGACATCCTCCGGTCGATTTTCTTCGACGTCAATCCGGAAATAGATAATTCCGCTGAGGAGTATTTGGATCGTATCATCTTTCACCTTGTCTGAAGCCATCGAAAAGCAGCTTTCCACCGTTCAGTGGCAAATAACCACCGTCCCATGACGATGGTGAACTTCTCCTTCTATTCAATTTTCTCCTAATCTTCTTCTCTTGTAGGTTATGAATCAAGCATAAGGAATCATGCAAAGCTTATCTGCTACTGCTTAGTAAACGTAGGACATGAGTTTTGGATTTTCTATGCTTTTTAATCTCATTGTTAACTTAGAGTTGCTATTGAAAATCTTCTTAATTTGCATGTGTTGAAATTCTAAATTGTTTTGGTGATCTTAGCTTTTGGCGTGTGATTTGGCCTAAGCAAAGCCACCTCTCTTTTGTTTTCTATTATCGTTTAGTAGCTAACGTTTTTAATTCTTATTGCTCTTATTTGAAGCGTGCAAAATTTTATTTCATTTAAATCATATAACAAGTCCTGAATCAATATCCCTCGCAGGAATACTTTTATGGGCTCTTCAATGACCTGTCTCCACATTCTAACATTGTCAGTTTCAATGATATAACTGTCTACCGGATTGGTGGTGGCCCACAGGCTCCGCGTTCAGCATTACCTATTGGAGCTGAGCCGTTAGCTGACCCTACTCGGCTGGTTGCTGTTAACATAAACAGAGACTTGCTTCATTTGATTCTTGCTGTTTCATACGCAAAGGAACCAGATCAAATAATCTCCAGGTAACATTGATAGTATCCTTTAGTGCTATTACAAACTTTAGATGAATCCACCTCTAACTATTATTTATGTTTTCTGTTTAGTATAAGAGGACTTTATTCTTGACTAAGTTGTTTTCTATATCAATATGCCATTAATGAATACTCTATCCAGTTATCCACACGTTTAGGAGCTATGTAGGGCTACTTTTTTGTTGCCTTGCTTTTCAAATCATTGCTATACTTCTTTTGGCTATTACTTTCTTATTTCTTTTCAAACTTTTAGTGATTGGAATCATATATGTCAGGGTGTGTTGGTTGTTAAAAAATTGGTATCCAATTTTTTCAAAAAAAAAAAAAAATTTAAAATACCTATCTTGGCTTTTAAAAAAAGTTTTTTTTCCCACAATTGTTTTACAACCACCTTTATAAAAAATTGCAGCTGCCCCAAACAAACTTTGTCATGCTTTCCCATTGTGCCTTCAAGGTCACAAGCTTAAATCACTACATTGATCTTTTGATAATGCATAAATCAATCCACTCTCCTATCCTCTTCCTCTTATGCAGCTTAAGCTCTGTTTGGGGGTGTGGCAGCTTGCTATGGCTTTGTCGCCCATTGCTTTGTTTGCCCCCTCCTCTAGAATGCAGCGTTTCTGCAACTATAACCTTAGTTATCTAAATTTCTTGAAATTTATTTTCTGTTTCCTTGACATGAATGGCTGAAGTCGAGTAGAAGCATCAAAGTAGCGCATTCCCCCTTTTCTACGGCTATTTTCTTACTAGAAAACCGAGTTTTGTTAACAGCTACCTAATTTGATTGCAGTAATGTAGCTGGGTTTATCTACGTCACGGACATCGACATCCAGAGGTAACACAAAGCAAATGCCTTTCTTTGTTCTGTCTTTTCTTATGCATCGAGATGAATTTTTGGCAAATGTCATTTGACAATAACAATGTTACAGGAAGAATATTACATATCTTGCACCTTGCCCAGGTGAGCTCCCAAGCAAGCTGTTGATTGTGGGAACTTTGACATGGTTAGAAAGCTAGAGACTTGAAGAAATGCAGTTATCTTATTGATTCTCTGAAGATTCACGTTGCATTCTGTTGCTTCATGTAAATTATGGCTTGTAAACAGTGGTGAAAAGTACTTGAAATGATGTAACATTTGCTGTTTGAAATTTTGAAATATGTGGATTGAATGCTTGGAGGAATCATTGATAATTTTGAAATAATTTATTCTTTTTAAGGCGTAAGTTGTTTTATAAAAGCTATTTTCTTGTGCCAACTTCAAAAGCTTGTAAAAAAGCCTAAATTTATAGCCAATTTATTTTGACACAAGCTTTTAGATGCGACTTGATTCCCAAATCAATTCTGACGAATCATGAATTCTTGTTCAATATTTCATATAGCAAATCAAAACTGAATTGAAGCTAGTTAAAGGCATATAGACTTTATTGATTTATGTAGTGCAATTCGATGAGAAAATTTCAGATCATCTGGCCTGCTTATATACTGATTGGGGCCCTCAGTTTCTCTCATTGAGGTTCTCTTGTTTGTTGGGGGAAAAAAACTGAAGATGTTCTAACTTGTCGAAGTTATTGTGATCTTTATATGCTATGAAATCATCAGTCATTTGTTGTGTTGGGATCTTTTTAGGAAGTTGAATATTTTGTATAAAAATGATGAATTTTTGTCGCCATTTTCTTATGGCTCAGTACTTGTATAAATTTCTTTGCATTATTGCATCTCTTATAAATCTTTGATTAATGAATTGTAAGTGTTGTTGGTTTGTTCTCATTAAGAGAAACAAAATTATATGAAGATCACCACGTGTCATTGATGTTTTTTTGCAATGATAAAGGCATTCTAAATCTTTTGGAAATTATTTTGGATGACCCAATTGTCAGAATTTTAATTCAACATCATTGGTAGAAATAATGAGTTTTTTTTTTTAATTTATAATTTTTTGGTAGTTTAAGAAAATTGATTTTATATTGTTAATCACAATAATGAGTGTTTTTTTTCAAAATAATTTTTCAATCACAAAAAAAATACAGAAAATTAAAAATACTGAAAATAAAAATAAAAGAACACAGAAATTTATAGTGGTTTGGTCAAATTAAATCTATGTTCACTCCTTGAAGACTACCTCTTCAGATATTGCACTATTATCAAATTTACTCTCATTTTGCTCCCATAGCAAGGCGGAGAAGCCTTTACAATTATCCACTCTTCCATCAATCCCTAGTGCAGTAGAATACCGTCGTCCTTTCATACTTCCAAGTGTCGATAGAGTATTACTTCCTTTCACACCCTCCTGGTGTCAGCAGAGAATTGGCGTCTTTTCACATCCTCCTGGTGTCGGCAGAGTATCGACGTTCTTTCACACCCTCCTGGTGTTGGAAGAGAATCGTCGTCCTTTCACACCCTCATGGTGTCGGCAGAGAACCAGGTCTTCTCCAAAAATCTTCTCTCAAGCAACTTCAAAGAAGTAAGTAAGAGATTCAACAAAACTTACAAAGAGTCCCACCTTTGGGCAGCATTCTGAACCCTTCAAAATTTTCACTTGCAAGATCTCTTTCCACACTCTCAAATGTTGATTCCGTATAGGTTGTTAAACCTAAGCTATTATCCCGAGGCTAACCGGGGTGGGGGGTGAATTGGTAATTTAAAAATTCTCTTGAATTTTTTAAATAGAAAACCATTTTTAAACTTGTAGTAAGTTAATTAAAGTTTAAAATAAACTTTTCAATCACAATAAATAACTTGCAGTAAGTACATGCGAAAATTAAAAAAAGACAAAGATTTATAGTAGGTCGATCAAATACGACTTATATCGACTCCCTGAACACTATCTCTCCAGGTATTACACTATTACCAAAGTGACTCTCCTTTTGCCCCCACAACTAGGCGGAGAAGCCTTTACAAAAACCTCTCTTCCACCAATCCCCGGTGCGGTAGATAACCATCGTCTGTTCACACTCCAAGTTTCGCCAGAGAACTGTCGTCTGTTCACACTTTTCAAGTGTCGGCAGAGAACCGTCATCCTTTCATACCCTTCAAGTGTTGGTAGAGTACTGTCGTCCTTTCACACCCTCCAAGTGTTAGCAGAGTACCGTCATCTTTTCACACCCTCCAAGTGTCAGTAGAGTACCATCATCTTTTCACACCCTCTAATGTCGGTAGAGTACCGGATCTTTTTCAAAGATCTTCTCACGAGTAAATAGAAAGAAGAAAAGAAGAGTGATAACAAAAAAACATAAAGAAATCCTTACCTTTGAGTAATCTTGTGAACCCTTCACACTCCACTTGTAAGAAATCTCTCTCAAACACTCTCTCACACTCTTTCTTTCACTTGCTCTTGAAAAATCATGAAGACAAGACTTTTTCAAGTCAGTTTTAGAGGACCTTTTATATCAAAGACGCGAAAAACAGTCCAAAAAATTAAAAATTTTAATTTTGAGCATACACGATCATATAGTGTATCGTATGTTCATACGTACAAATAGTTCAAAAACTATTTAGTATGAATATTTTGTGAATCGGTACAAAATAATTTCATACCTGCTGATCGTCTAGTGCGAACCCAGTTCGTACTATATAAACAGTTAAAAAAATTTTAATCTTCGTCAGGACGAAGAGGGACCCCACAATTTTGTACCCTGTATGACGTACGTACGATGACGACATCGTACAGTATGAACCGTTCAAAAAGTTTTGAAGATCATCTGGATGAAAAGGGACCCATCCAATTTGTTTCCTGGATGGCGTACGTACGATGATGACATCGTACGGTACGATCCATACTTAGAATTTTTTTTTTACTTTTTGTTCGTTTGAATGCATGCATGAGGAAATAACTGAACAAATTATCTCGTACTAAAAGCCTTCGTACAGTAAAATCAGTTTTAAAAATTTGTAGATTTTAAACTCTCCCCTGGTTGTGTGTACACAATTACTCAATTACAATCACACTCTCTCAGATTCAATAAAAATGAAAGATAAAGACTTCATTTACACTAAATCCTAAACTGATCTGATTTGAAATCTTTAAAAAAATCTGAATATGGTTTCTCTGAAATGTTAGTTCACACAAACAACAAAATAATGTATCTAAAATATGTTAGGAGAAATAATAATCAAAGAAATAATATTTGGAATCATTAAAAACATACATGTTGAAAAAATTGATCAAGATGATGAAGCATTCTAGACAATTAGATAAGAAAAATTATTGCAAAAGTAATGAAATCAAGATTAATTAATTTCAAATTTCAAAATAAAAGATAATTAAAAATTAGATTGATTTAAAATAAAGATTAAACGATAGAGGAAATAATATATTCATTGGCGACATTGTGTATCTTTTAAAAAATTTGTGGCACACTTTGTGCATCTTTTTTGTATTTGGGCTAATTTTGTGTCTCTTTTCAATTTGTGAACCATTGTGCAGTCTTTCAAATTTTGTACACATTGTACATTTCCCTTTCCTTTTTTTAATTGATCTTTCCAAAATCAATAATTTTAAAAATCTAAATTTTATAATTACAAAGATAATTATATTAAAAAGAGAAATAAAAAATAATAAGATAATAAAATTGCAATAATAATATTTAAATTATGTTTGCTTAAAAAGAATATGAGATTGATATCCTTAACTTGATCAAGTTATAACATAACTTAAATTTTTGAAAAATTAGATTTTCTAATGAAATTAATTTTGCTTTGCAGGTTAATTTATAACACTTTTTAGATCAATTAAGAAAAGATTATCATATAGGCAAACTTGCATTTCAAAACAACGAATAAAAAATAACTAATCCAAAACAAGATATTTTTTATTGATATCAATTAAAAATTAGATACATTGAAGCTCTTTGATATCAATTTCATAAAAACAAAACAACATAACATCAACATAAAAATTAAATACTGACAAGTGCACAAAACACTGAAATCATAACTAGAATCATGACATCTGGAGAGGATAGGGAAATAAAAACACAGAAGAAGTACATCTAGAACTCTGAAGGACACTGGTCTGGAGAAGGAGGTTGGTTGAAGACTGAGAAAAAGCTATTCATTATAGCTACATTAGTGTTCACCGAATCAAACTAACCTCGGATCCAACCCATGTCTTGATGGTACTGTGCATCCTGCTGGTTTAAGTGAGTCTGAATTTGATCAAAATGTTGATCAAAATGACTCGTTAACCTATCAAATCGATGGACTATCTCCTAAAAGTCAGGTCCCTGAGTAGATGCAAGTGCTCCCCTTTCTCCCTCATTATCCTCACTTGTGTCCTCATTCCTTCCAAAAAGAGATCGAAAAGAGGCATCGGTGAAGTAGATTGGCAACTCAGTGGGAACATCAGGATGATAAATATTATACTTCTTTTCTAAGATATGTGTCAATAGATATTGTAGAGCAATATTTTTCTTCCTCTTATGAGAGACAAATCTAATTACAGAAAGGTTATGAATGTAATCTAGAATGAATTGGGTTTCATTAATTTGTTGTCTAGTCATGATTAAATAGGTAACTATGGACAGAAGAGGAGTAATATTTATGCGATCACCAGCCTTAGGAATGATTAAAGTTCTAAGGACATGCTTGATGATCCTGACATTTTGATTTAAAGTATAGACTCTAGCCAAGTGACCAACTTGAGTAACCCCTCTAAGAGCTTTATTTATTTCAGACCAATCATAGTGAGATTTAGAGGTCATAATGTGAGCTCTAGTCCCTTGAGTCCTTAAATGCAGAAAAAATCCTAGATCTTCCTTAGTGATTTCAACCCGTTTCTTTTGGACATATGATCTTATCCTACTCTCATCTTCACTAAAACTCATGTTCGCTAAAAAGTAGTGAAAGATCTCCTTTTGATAGGCATGAATCAAAGTCAAAATAAAGGAGAATTGAGTTGAAGGAAAAAGTGGCATGACTTGAAAGTGGATATCTTTTTGAATTAAGAGTCTTGACGGAGTGGTTTTTATAGCAACAAACATATAGTAGGAATCCTCATTTGCTCTAGACAGAAAGTTTTCGTCTCCACCCATGGATGATGAACGCCTAGACACTCTACCACGCTTGCTAGAACTTACCATTTCTAAGAAGACAAGGATTCAAGGAAGATGTTGAAGTGAATGAAAATGAATTCTAAAGCCCTCCTATTTAAAGAAAAATGACCTTTCGTACAGTATGAAAGTAAGTTTGTACGTACGATCATGAGATCATACGGGACAAAATTTTTTTTGTATGGACGAA